GGCGGAAATATTCTGTATACTGTTCTTTTTTTAAGTGCAGTTGTTTTAGAAACGATTTCTAATATAAGTGACACTTCTAAGTTAAAAATAAGCTTGTGCAAAATGTGTAATTCTGTTCTCATATTAAAGTCGTAATAGAAATTATTGAGTGAACACCTAAGCTGTAATAATGTGAAAGCGTGGAGATTAGATTTGCACCCGTCAAAATGACGAATTATATCTTGAGCAAATGCGTTGCATATCGTGTGTGAATGCAAAGGCATAATGAGTACTCAATTTGTCAACTATATACCTTTAATCCTTAGTCTTTTTCTGCTCCATAGACCTAATTTTAAAGATACCCACACTGGAAGCGACAAATGTACCGCCTACCGGTTAATCAACAATTATCACATCGGGCTTTGGCCAAGGATTTTCCCATCCACTTCATAAAATGGCTAACGAAAGTAGAATGTACAATAGTAATTGCACGTACTTCGGACTTTGGCCCAAACGCGAATTGGTCATCCAATTAGCGAACTGGCCGAATTTCGGGCTTTAGCCGTAACATCAGGACTGAACATTTTGTTCGTAAATTCGAGGTTATTCATTACATCGGAGTTTAAACAAAATACAAATTTTTTGCACTTACCTTTCGAAAATTCTATAAGCAACTGCATAAAAAATATCCATAGTTAGAAATGACACACTTTCTATTCAGTAGCTAAAAGTACTATTAGCGAATTTATGAGCACCAGTAATATAATTGGAAAATTTTAAATACTGATTAATAGATTTTTGACAATCTTTTTAATTCCTGACTCGAAAGAGTTCTTTTTCGACTTTATGCAAAGAAGTCATTTACATCCTGCGGCATAAGGCATGCTTTCATATTTTCCAAATAAAGTAAAGCAACAGAAAATGTAACAGTTTTTTTATAGGAGTTTTATTATCTATTTTTGTGTTAGAATCGCTATTCATTGGCTCCGACAAATCAACAATTTCCTCAACTTCTGTTGCTCACGCGAGTAGGTAGTCCGTCATCAAATATAACATAATCACATTAAAGCAGTGCTTCTCAAACTTTCAATACTGGCGCCCCCTTTTCAATCACAATTTTTATCGCACCCCCCTTATACATTAATAATGTACTGAATGCAATAATAATGCACTTTGACGCTAAAGCAACAATATTTATTATAAACCGTACAAATTCATGACATAAGTATTAAATTTTGTATATGTTACTTTTAAGCAAAAAAAAAATTAAGTAATAGGATAATTATTATGTTATTTTTCCTTTCTCTAGTTTTTAAATTGGAGCATTTTGCAAAATGCGGTGGTGGCTTAGAAGACAAAATATAAATATCAGCTTAATATATAAAAAGAACTCAGAGGGTCAATTTCTAATCATAAACATTCCTTTGAAAACTTTGCTCTGTAAAACAAGCCCATGGAAGTCGCTAATACTTATTAAACTTGTTCTTAATTTAGTATTAATTAATTAGTTATAAAATACTCTGTGCAGCACTGATACATTAAAAGCATACCGGCTGAAGTACCCGCTCCTTGCACGAGTTCATTTATAATAAAATAAAACATTATTGATATAATCGCTGAATTGTAAGGAGAGTACAGCCAAGTGCGCGACAATGTTTACAAAAATGTAAAATAATTTTTTTAAATGATTGTTCAAATTATATAATCAGTTTTAAGCGAAATGTAATTTTAAGCCTCCCACAATTAGCATTTAGAATCGATGTTAAATAATGAGCAATAATATAAAATTCCGATGAAGAATAATTGTATTATTTTTAATATTTAAAGCGAGAAAAGACTTCAATATGTTTTAACCCTGGAACAGGCACGCACTCGATACTAATGGTCGAGCGGGGTTATTGAGTCACCCCAATCCTTTATTTATAATTATTTTTATAGAACACAATAAAAATCGTAATTCCAGTGAATAATTTAATTAAGAGAAAATATACTCACCCCTACTTTCAAGGATACAGAAAACATTTCGGAAAAAAGTTATCACACCGGGAGCTCAATCAAAACAAGTACCTTAAGATTGTGAAAAAACGTTTGTCACTCCCACAAAAAAGAGGGAGATATGTGACTAATATATTTTAGTTCACGTTAAGACTATCAAACAGGAGGATAGTGTCAGGACCATTGGTAACAATTAAACAGTTTTGCCAGAATTACCGATTTCGTGCACTCTGTGCTCGGCGTGACCACTCCCGGATTAAAAGTGTATTTATTACAATATGAATGTTCTAAAAAAAAGTAAAGCGTTTTCATTGTGCTTTATATGTTTGGGAATGCTCATAAAAATAAATCTTGGCCTAGTAATCCTTCAAAGTGCTCTCTGTGCTTTTCCAAAAATCATGAAAATATTTTACAAGGAAAGAAACGCAGTGGAAATACTTTATTCACAACTTCCCTAAACGAAAAAACAAATACATAAGAGCAGGGACGTAACTAACCGTACAAGAAAGTTCGAAGGTCAAACCGCAGCAAATACATTCTGCTGCCTACAGCTGAGGGCAATAATATAACAGTGAAGAATATTTTATCTTCCTAAATTTTTTTTATTATGGGTCTGAGTTTTTTTTTTTTCTCTGAAAGAGTAGCATTTTCGGTTTGAAAAGAAAACGTAATAAAAAAATCTCTCATCATGGGATTACAGCAAATCATTATAAAATGTTTTTTATTTGGTTATAGTATTAAAGATAGATAAAATGAGGTTTTGAAGTAGAAGCTTTTATTTTTGATGACGTAATATTGCAGATGATATATATAAATTATATCAGTGTAAATGTGTATTTTTTATTATGTCAGAAAGTATTTTGTTTTACTTCATTCCAGTAAGTAATTTTTTTTTAATCTTTTATTTTCGATATGCTCGCGCCCCCTTGTTGGTTTATCACGCCCTCCTTGTAGGTTTATCGCGCCCCCCAGGAATCGCGCCCCACAGTTTGAGAAACACTGCATTAAAGTCTTAAAATGTTTCCTGCATTATGCAATAGGTTAAGATAAAAGGGGATTTCCTGTCGTGTTCAAATCTCATACGATAGATTACACTCATAACTTATCTGCACCTATAAAGTTTAGTAATGGTCTGTATCCCTTTCCTCTCGAAATTTGCTCTGCTTACAAGAAAAGTCTGTTCCAGACAAAAAGAATGTGTCTTTTCTCAAGAAAAACCTGATTAATCCACCCGATCAGCTGTCGAAATAATTCTTTTCGGGGATTATTATTCGTTAAATAGGGGGATTTGCCTTTTCTAATCGGGGAAAGAGAAAAATTCGTTAAATCACGAAATTCGTTAAATCGGAGCCGACTGTCTTAATAAACGATAGTACTCATTACCTTAACTATATTTTTAAAAAATGTAGAAAATAAATTACAAACATTAGTATGTGGTTTGCCTTATACTAAAAAGTTTTTAAACCACAAGCAATTGAAAAAAAAATAGAAATTTATTAGAAGTATAATGCACAGAAAGAGAAAGATCTTAAATTATTAAAACACATATTTTATGTAAAAAAAATTTCAAAAATTCAAATTGAAATTCAATATTAACCTAATTAAAAAGATGAGAAATTATACAAGATATATAATCACCAGTAAGCTCTAAAAGATTACTGTTAAAATTGACTAAATGAATGTTTGTTAACGCCGCTTTTCCCGGGCTATTAGCGGCAGACCTCGTAACTTTGAACCTTCATCAAGTGGCAAGAACATCACATCTGTGAGCTAGTGTTTCCTACAATGTAAACTTCCTTTCAACATTACGTGACAGCCCATTCAGCCACGACAGATTTAAAGTACATCACTGAAATTACACGGTTGGTCTTCAATGACACCAGAAATCCAACACAAGACTTGACTAACATTACGCCGTCAAAAGATCCCGATCAAGACCAATCGGCTACCACGACTAAATCTGGAAAAGAGTAACTTTTTAAAATACAAAAGATTCACTTGTGAGAATCGATGTATTAGTATATAACTCACACTTTAACAAATCATTTTGATTTTATATAGAAATTTATACTGTATTGAAAAAGGACAAGGAAACAACCGCAATAAAAACAGTTGATAGTTTCCAGTTCGGTTAAAACCAATGTAATATTTTATGGATTTATAAGCCCAAAGGCTTACCCATATTACATAGGAACTGGACTACGTTCGTTCAGTCTAATGACATTATTTTCACACATGCTAAAGTTCAAATAGTAAATACAATAATTGGAAAGTCTTTTTATAGGCAGTACCCAGGGGGTTGATTGATTTATTGAATATTAACGTCGCACTGTTCAGCTACACGAGGGGGCCGCGGTAGCCGAGTGGTATAGGTATCGGACTGTGGCTTGCTTTGTCACAGGTTCGAGCCCAGTACCACTAAAGACCCGCCGTGTAGGGCAGCGATGCACGTTAAATCTGTCGAGCTGAAACGTCCTCCCGTTGGTGTGGTGTGGTAGTTAGGAGAGGGGTGCCAGCTCGGGTGTCGTCACGTCACTTGACCATGGTTCAAAAATTACGTGGTCCGTCGCCAAAAAGCCCTCGTGTAGCTGAACAGTGCGACGTTAATATTCAATCAATCAATCAGCTACACGAGGGCTTTTGGTGACGGACCACGTAATTTTGAACCATGGTCAAGTGACGTGGACGACACCTGAGCTGGCACCCCTCTCTCCTAACTACCAAACCACACCAACGGGAGGACGTTTCAGCTCTCGACAGATTTAACGTGCATCGCTGCCCTACACGGCGGGTCTTTAGTGGTACTGGGCTCGAACTCGTGACAAGGCAAGCCACGGTCCGATACCTATTGTACTCGGCTACCGCAGCCACAGTACCCAGGGAGACACGAACGCGCAAACTTTATATTCGTAGTCCAACGTCTTATTCCTTCTGACGACTTCAATTTCATGCGCAATTTAAAACTGCAGGGAATATATATTTCAGACCACAAACAGAAAACATTCTAAAGAACCACTGATGTAGACTGTTCCTGGTGGAATTCGAAGACACAGTATGTAGATTTACAATCCAACGCCTTACCCATTAGGCCACAGGAACTACATAAAAAATGTTCTTATGATGACATTAATTTCATGCACTATTTCAGACCATAAAGAAAACATATTCTAAAAAACCATTGTTACGGAGTGTTCTTGGTGGAACTCGAAACCTCAATCTCTCGATCGGAAACCATTAGACCACAGGAGTCACATGAAACATGTACTTCGGATGACATTTATTTCAGACCATAAACAGAAAATATTTTAAATAAACTCTATGTTGTTTCTGGTGTGACGCGAACATACAACCATTAAATTTCGAATCCAACACATTATCCATTAGTCCGCAGGAGTTTCACAGCAGTTAATCTTCTGATGACAATAATTTCATACACTATATTTCAGTTAATTAACAGAAAATATTCAAAAAAACCAATGTTGTAGACTGTTCCTGGTGTGAATCGAGTCCACAACCTTTGGTTTCGGAATTAAACACATTATGCACATTAAGACACAGGAACTGCATAAGGCTGTTCTTATGATGGCATTAATTAATGCATTATTCAAGACATTAAACATTCCAAAAACAACTGTTGTGCATTGTTCCTAGTGGTACTCGACTGCACAATCTTTTGGTTCGGAATCCACCGCATTATCCTTTAGGCCACAAGAACTTGTGGCAGGTGTTCTTCTGATGACATTGTTTGCATGAATTACTTCAAACCATTAACAGAAAACATCCTAAAAAATCACTGTAGCAGACTGTTCCTGGTGGGACTAGAATTCACATCTTCTAGTTTCTGAATCCAACGCCTTATTTCTTAGTCTACAAGAACTTTACTACAGCCGCTCCACTGATAACGTTAATTTCATGCACTATTTCATACTATAAAAAGAAAATATTCTAGAAAATCATTGCAGCACGCTGTTCCTGGTGGGACTCGAATCAACAACCTTAGAATTCGGAATCCAACGCCTTATACATTAGGCCACAGGAATTGCATGCTGCTATTTTTCTGATGTCATTAAATACATGCACACTATTTCAGACGATAAGCAGAAAGTATTCTAAAAAACTACTGCTGATAGAAAACGCTCCCTAGTGGGATTCGAACACACAATACATGGATTCTGTATGCACCTCCATTAGGCTGCAGGAACTGCATGAAATTGTTCTTCCGATATTGTATATTTCATGCATTATTTCAGATCTCATAAACAGAAAATATTTGAAAACCCAGCGTTATACATTGTTCCCGGTGGGACGCGAACCCACAGTTTTTAGATTCGGAATTCAATGCCTTATTCCTTAGGTCACAGGAACTTTGTGTGGGTGGCTTTCTTCTAATGACATTATCTTCATGCATTATTTCAGATCTTAAACAGAAAATATCTTCAAAAATCACTGTTGCAGACTGCTCCTGGTGGCACTCGAAACCTGAATCTCCGATTTGGAATCCATTAAGCCACAGAAACTGCATGGCAGAAGTTCTTTGTACGAAATTAACTTCATGCACTATTTCAGACAGTAAACAGATAATATTCTTAAAAATCATTGTTGCAAATTTGTTCCCGGTGGGACTCGAACCCACAATCTTTGGATTCGGAGTCCAACGCCTTATCCATTAGGCCACAGGAACTGCGTACTGTTGGCCTTCTGATGTCAATAATTTCATGCACTATTTCGGACTGAACTGAAAATATTCTCAAAAACCACTGTTGTAGACAACTCCTGGTGGGGTTTTGATTTCTCGCGGTAACGTTGATAAATTGATTGATTAAATATTAACGTCGCACTGTTCAGCTACACGAGGGCTTTTGGCGACGGACCACGTAATTTTGAACCATGGTCAAGTGACGTGGACGACACTTGAGCTGGCACCCCCCCTCTCCTAACTACCAAACCACACCAACGGGAGGACGTTTCAGCTCTCGACAGATTTAACGTTCATCGCTGCCCTACACGGCGGGTCTTTAGTGGTACTGGGCTCGAACCCGTGACAAAGCAAGCCACGGTCCGATACCTATACCACTCGGCTACCGCGGCCGTAACGTTGATAAAGGATACGGTGTTCGGTGGTGGAAGAAACGAAGACATTCGTGAATTATACTCTGTTCTTGCTTCTGAAATTAGTGAAATTTTTTTTTCTTAAAGTTTCTATTCTTACAAGGACTTGGTAAGCATTCTTTTTTTTTTTATGAACGCAAATAGACTCAAGGTGAGTCTTTGAAAGTCTGACTATCCCATGTTAAAAACAAATAAAAAATACAGATGGAAGATAGCATGGACGCAGGGAAAGCAAAATACTTTCGCACTCTATGTCTATAAAGGAACTCGTCTTACGAGCCGGTCAAAGAAAAATATCTGAGATAAATATGTTTTTAGAAAATAAACAAAACCGTCATCTATCCCCAAAATAAACCCATAGTTGTTATATATGGAGATAAAAAGTAAAATCCCCAAATTTGATCAAATTTCTAACATGTCATTCACTAGAAATGGAAAATTACGTTTTGCCACCTCGGATCCAGTATGTGCAATACAAATTCTATCTTTAGATCAATTATTCAATATTTCGGTTAATGCAAGTGTCATATGGGAGGGTATTACATCCCGCTTCTTACTATATGAAATTCCTACTAATGTATCATTGGAAGAATTATCTGCGGAATTACAAGACAGTAATAATTTTGAGATTGTAGAGATTCGCAGATTTATAAAATCAGGTACAAATCCTGAAATATTCCCCGTTCTGATAACCATGCTTGGAACTGTATTACCAGATAATGTTAAGCTTTGGTTTATCAATCATAAGATTCAATTATTCATTGACAAACCTAGACAATGCACCAAATGTTTCAGTTTTTCTCATCCATCTCGATTTTGTCAGAGTCCAGCTATATGTTGTAATTGTGGTTCTTCTCACTCAGGAGAGTGCACTGTCAATGCGAACTGCATCAACTGTAAGGGTAATCATCCGGCAAATTTTTCTCTCTGTTCTTCGTTCTTAGCAGAAAAACAAAGTATGGAATTAAAATGTAGACAGCACGTAACATTAAGTGAGGCGCGACGACGATTTCGTGCATCTAATTCCGAAAATCTTTCGACAGTACTTAAATCTAAATCTCAAGAAAATAACATACAAGAGTTAATAGACAAGAAGTTTGAGAAAATGATGACTGTTTTCCAAACAGTTGTGGAAAAACAAACGGCATTCCTAATGGAAATTTTTTACAAAAATCAATGGAAACAATGCTCTCTCAAGTATGTAGCATAGTGGATTCGATTACGCGTTCTTCTCCCCCAGGCAGGAAAAAAGAGCATCCGACATGTTAAATACATCCATAAGTCCAGTTCAAGTTTTTTCTGGGAATAGTGGAAAACCTAACACTGAACTCGGATAAAAAAAATACTGTATATATGTTCTTGATTTTTGTATATATCTTCTCATTCAGTATTTTACTACTAATATGTATATATAAATATCCATATATATATAATTTTTTTCCTCAAAAGGGAGGAAATTTTTGAAAATTCAGTGAAATAATTTCCCCCCCTTTTTATGAACTTTTTACAATGGAACTGTAGAAGCTTAAAAAATAAAAACATATGGTTAAATATCCCTCCCTTTTCTCAAGCAGATATCTTGATTTTTCAAGAAACCTTTTTAACCAGTGAAGATACATTTAATTTACCAGGGAAAAAGATTTTCAGAAAAGATAGACAAAATTGATCAGGAGGTGGCTTGATAATAGCTGTACCTTTAAACGTTTCTGCTCAACAAATCCCTCTACAGATATCACAAATAGACGATTTAGAAATACTTATTGTCAAAATATATATTGAGGATATTTCTTTTTATGTTATAAATATCTACGCACCACGTGGACTAAATATTAACTTAATAAAATCTTTTTTTGAATCATTAACAGATCCTTTCTTCATTTTTGGCGATTTTAACCTTCATCGCCCGATGTGGGGATCGGATCACAGCTCAAGGAATAGTAATATTTTTATTGACTGGTTGACTGATTCTAATTCAATACTTCTAAACACAACTGTTCCTACTTATAGAAATTCCACGGGTAAAACTTCTTTAATTGATCTCACAATTTGCTCCTCGAGTCTCTATGGACATACTAACTGTTACGTTTCAGATTGTTTCTTTGACAGTGACCATTCTCCAGTGTAATTACCGAGTTTTCATTAATAAGACCCAGTAAAAGGTTAATAAAAAAAATTGACTGGCAAAGGGTGAAAAATGAAGTGCAGATTATATTAAGCAACCCAGAGGAAAATATAGATAATTTTACTGATACAATTTCAAAAATTATTTACAGTAATACCAGAGTTGTTCAAATTTCTAACAAATCTTTCCCTCCATGGTGGAATGGTACTTGCCATAATTTTTATAAATTAAAAAGAAGTTCAGAAAAAGGCTATCCGTGGCATTTCTCCGCAATTATGGATCAAATACAAACAATACGCTAGTAAACTCAGATTTCATATAAAAAATGCCAAAAGATAGTATTGGGATAATATTTGCAATAATGTTTCTAATCCAAAGATATTTTTTAATATTCTGTGTGAAAAAGCTCTCTAATACTAAGAAAATAGAACCCAAGTATAATATTCTACAAGTTAATAATAGATATATTACACAACCTCAAATTCAAGCAAATATTTTTGCGGACTTCTTTGCATCTAAAAACGCTTATCATGAACCAATTCCTTTGGACTTTTTCCACAAAGAGGACAACAATCTTAATAAACCTTTTCATATTTTTGAAATCCATAGAGCAATAAAACTTTCTAAAAATTCAACTCCTGGAGCTGATCATATTGCAGCATCTTTTTAAAAAAATCTGGATCGTAATGGTTGTGAAATAATATTAAGATATTTTCAAGATTTATTTGATAATGCAATAGTTCCAAACTCTTGGAAGCATGCAGTCATTCTCCCGATTCCTAAACAATGTAAAGACAAAACTCGCATATCCTCCTATAGACCAATAGCACCGACTTCCATCTTTTCAAAAACATTTGAAAGAGTTCTCACCAATAGATTAAGCTATTTTCTAACCACAGAACGAAAACTTCATCCTCAACATTACGGTTTCGTCCCTTTTAAAGATAGCAGAAGTGCTACCTATCTCATTCATAAAGCAATAATGGATGCAAAATTAAAAAAGAAATACTTTGTTGGAGTAAGTTTGGATATAAAAAGGGCATACGATTCAGTTTATGTAGATGGTCTTCTTTATAAATGCCTACAAATCGGTATTACAGGAAAAACAGCTATTTGGATCCACAAATTTCTCACTTATCGATCTTTTCAAATCAAATGGAGGGCTATCTTTCCTCCATAAGGATATTTCCCCAAGGTCTGCCACAAGGCAGTGTTCTATCCCCCATTTTATATACTATTTATATGTATGATTTTTTTGAAACTCTGGAAAATGACATCGAATGCTCTGTTTATGCGGATGACGTTTTTCTTTACTGCTCTCATCATTCTCTTGATTATATTTGCAAAAAAATGCAAAACACGCTGGAAAGAATTTCTCAATGGTGTAAATATTGGAAGCTTTCTCTTAGTCCAGATAAAAGTACAATATCTGAGTTATCAAACAAAAGAATTAATACGTTTCCTAATATTTTATTGGAGGGACATTCTCTCCCTTGGCAATCCTCTATCAAATATTTAGGAGTTCATTTTTCCAAGCGGAGCCAGAATATTTCATTAAGAAACCAATTAAATAACAAAGCCTTGAAAAAAATTAATAGCCTTAAGGCTATGGCATATAAGCATCATGGACCAAGAACAGCAGATCTAATCAAAATAGAAAATAATAGTTTATGCAGTATTTTATACTACTTTAGTCATATAATAAATAAAAATGGTCTGATATAACCAACTGAAACCTTTTAATATCATTCACACCAAAGCACTTCGAATTGCACTGGGACTTCCACAATGGACCCCAAACATCGTACTTTTTAAATTGGCTGGACAAGAAATTCTGTCAGACAAAATACGAAGATTGGCAAATAAGTTTTTCCTTTCTCAAATTACTAATCAAACCTTTTCTCCATTATATAGCAATAACCCTGAGTTTCTGAATCTCAATATTATGGAAGAAGATAAAAATTCTATTATAAATATACTAAACCCTTTGAATGCTGTTAGTCAAATTATCTCAATCCCCAGAATAACATCGTTTTCAATTCTCCCATGCAAAATATATATCAATAATTTCGCATTTCAGGATAAAAGCTTACCAGTTCAAATTATAAGGAGTTTATTTGATGAAACGGTAAAC